TCTCTTCCCATCCCTAACCCAAAATAGTCCTAAGACATGAAAATATGAGGCTCTGACTCCAATCGATGACTTCAAATCATAGAGAGGAAAGGATACTTTCAACTTGTATCATCTTGTTTTTCCAGGCAACAAAAAAATATGATGTGCGCTATAGTTCCCCATCTCCTGCAAGCAGCCTGGCCTTGGACACCCCATTCCAACTCCCTTGTGTGTCCCTGCCCCTTTCCATTTGAAGGTCTGGTACATCTACTTCCCCACTGTTTGTGTTTCCACTGTTGCTGTGGAAACTGCATGTGGCTGACTCAGGTTTTTGGCATCTGCCTGGATGAGCTGGCTAGATGAGGTGGGGCCTTGGCTGGATGAAACAGGGACTTGATTGGTTGGAGTCTGGCTGACTGGTTTGCTGGAAGACTGAGATGGGTATCGCTTCCTTCCCTCGACTCCGGGTGCCATTGGGTATCTCTTGTAACTCCCTTCCTCCCCTATAGGGGGCTGAAACAGAAAACATAGAGCTTCATTACACAGCACATGAGTACTCCACCCTCAAGCATTCTTCATTCTGAAGTACATGAAGCCAATTTTTTAAAAAAAGTCCATTAAGTTTTAAAACATATTACATATAACACACACACACACACACACACACACATTGCTTAATACGTTTTTAAACATCATATCCCACCCCAACTCCACTCTATCTCAGAACAGCTAATAATGTAACATTTAAGAATGGAGTGCAACTAAATTTGTATGCATCATAACATTTGAATAAAACACAGAGAAAATCTCAAACAAACCAATCAGCTACAGTATTCCTGTTTCACTTTATAATTAATTTACTTTGTAATTTTATGGAAGCATTTTCATATCATTAACATACTGAATAAACAGGTATCAGCTTAAACAAAATGTACCTGGCTTTAAGTTTTGTTTGTTCATTATGATATTTTAATAGAATTTTTCTATAATAGCTAAACCAATTCTTTTCGTATCACATCAACAATAAGTAATCACAACCATTTGGTTTTCTATACCATCGGTATAGTTATTTTAATGCACTTCCTCAACATTTGAGTTGTGAGACATCAGAAAGGTGTAACATCAAATAATTCCTATGAGTATCCCCGCACAGCTGGACTTAATGGTCCTAGGGCCAGACTGCCCACTCACACATCTGGTAGAGGTGGCAGCCTCGCTCATCCTTCCAATCACTCCCAGACTGCCACTTTCTTCCCACTTGGCTAGCCACTCCAGGCAGGGGGAGGGAGGGGGAGTCTCCCTGCATGGCTGCCAAGTGGTTAGCAGAGCAGGAAGAGAGTGGCACTTCAGGAGTGATTTGAAGGATGAGTGAGGCCACCGCTGCTGCCAGATATGTGAGTGGGTGGTCCAGCCCCAGGGGCCGGACCCTCGCTAAGTCCAGTTGTGTGGGGATATTCAGATTCATATACGAATACCCCATCTCTATTCCCAACCCACTTTCAATTTTGTTTGATAATCATTTTATTAAGGAGAAGATATAGTCTAGGTATCAATACAATGGGATTATCAATCATATGCACAACCAACTGATTCAAAATCTGTCAATATTTTAAGTGATCTATTTTACTTCTGTTTGCTCTATGAAATGTTTGATTATAAAATATGCAAACTAATTTCCTATACACAGATACAACAGCGGATGGTGCTGATCATGGAACTGGGGCTTTGTATAGTGCTAAAAATCCTTGTGTCTGCATAAATTGCATTCTCCCTGTACTAGGCAATCACCTGCTCCAGCAGGAACTTTTTAAAAAAGAGATAAAGCTGTCTCAATTTCCCAAATCGGGCTGTGCCTCAAAGCAGCAAAAGAGGCCTGTAAGTAAACTTCACAACAGCCTACAATTATGTTTTCCAGTCAAATTCAACACAGAAGTTGTGAAAGAAATGCAACAAAGGAAATAGCTGCAGAACATGGAAGCAACCAGTTCCAGACTCTGCTTGTCCACAACCTTATTTTCAGAATTGTGTCTCAGATTAATGGTTGACTAATGAGATAGAAAAAGTAAACACTTTAGGAAAGGTGCAGGAAGTGGGAGGGAAAAAAGACAGCCTACCACTGCTATTAGGACCCCCCCACACACAAACAAAATATCACCCAGGTTCCTTGTTCAGCACTGACACTATGAAAGAGCGGCAAGTAGCAGTACAGGGGATGTGTGTTTCTGCCAAGGAGGTGGGTGGCAGAGAAGTCTCTTGTTGAAGGTGGGACATATTGTAAGTAAACCTTAAAACATGTTCCAGTGATGTCTTTGTGCAATCCAGCCAGGGAAAGGGGCAAAAAGGATGGTGAAGAAGGTACTTTTCTACTAAAGAGCCAATGTACCAGAGAAGGACAAGGGTGGCTACAGTGCTTAGACTGACACTGTCACTTCGGCAACATCAGTGCTGCTGGTTTCATGGTTAGAAAAGAGATTAATGAGGAGCACCAGACATTGTCCTCTATATTCATCCCATGCAACTCCATCATATTGAAGGCAGCATTTTTCTCCAGCTCCCATTCCCAGCAAATCTCTCCTGTGCAAAGCAGCACGGTGCTTGGCAGAAACTCCCCTTCAAATTACATACGAATCTGACATGGGGGAGGAGACTGAGAGGACTCAGGTAGGAATTATTTCCGAAGCATGTGACATTGAAATCACCTGTCCCTCCAGCTGCATTTGCCCACTAGTTGCCAACACTAGTAGTGATTAAAAATTACCAATACCTGTTAGGAATATACAATCAAAACCTGGAGCTCTCAAGAAATTACCGTATTTTTTGCTCCATAACACGCACTTCTCCCCCCCCCCAAATAGTGGGGGAGAAAGTATGTGCGTCTTATGGAATGAACACAGTAAAAAGGGGGTTCAACCACCACCATCCAGAAGCCCCCCACTGCCATGCTGGGAGGCCTCTGAAGTAGTACGAGAGTCTGGTTGCTGTTTGGACCTCACCATTCTGCACTGCTGGCTTTCTAGGATCTGCTTCTTGGAGCCCACCTGGAAAACCAGCAAGGCCAACAGGCCTATGGCAGCAGGCAGTGAAAACAGCCAAGGACCAAAGGGGAAAGAGTAATTCTAGAAAAACCAGGGGAAACCACAAACACAGTCCCCCACTTAGGCAGTCGATTTTCCCATATTTGGGGAAATCACAGGGGTCAGCACATCCAAAGTGCAATAGATGAGCCTCACCCTGGGAAAACCACTTTGATGATCATGGTATCTCCCCTGCCAGGTATGAGTTGAAATGGCCCCTGAACCTCCTGCCCCTTTCTGTGCCCTGTCCCCCAAAGGCATGGTGACCCCCCCTCCCCCTGGGAAAACCACTTTGATGATCATGGTATCGCCCCTGCCAGGTATGAGTTGAAATGGCCCCTGAACCTCCTGCCCCTTTCTGTGCCCTGTCCCCCAAAGGCATGGTGACCCCCCGGCTGCAACTCCTGATCAGAACAGGTCTGCACAGCCCCAGTCCCAAAAGAGGCCAGGAGAGCTATTCAGTGTTTTGGGGTGCCCCACAGGACCCCCATCAGCGGCTGGAT